TTCATGTTCACATTTAAGATTACATTTGCACATTCATGTTCACATTAAAGATTACATTTTCACTTTCATGTTCACATTAAAGATTACATTTTCACTTTCATGTTCACAGTAAAGATTATATTTTCACATTCTGTTTTGCATACTGCTATTACGTTTACAGATTATCAAACAAAAGAGATGCTATTTTGAAATATTGGTTAGTTACACAATTTAAGATAGGTGTACTCAGATTGAATTATTATCATATCACATCTTCACGTCTGAAAAACAAACAGTCTTCATAAATATCAAAATGAATTTAAAATCTAATCATTAATTATTGTCCAGTTAGAAAATGTGATAAACAAAGACCATACATTTTTTAAGACAAACTAATTGTGATTTAGCCGGTTAGCTTGATTCATTGGCTAGCTTGATTCATTGGCTAAACACTGTAAAACAAACGTCACAAACGTCAAAATCTTTAACATAAAGTTGGAAAAGAGAGAATTAAATGGAAAGAAAAATCATATTAAAATGAAAATTTACATGTGATAGATTTTACTCTACACTTGCCATTCATGATTAGAGGATTTTCTTTCTTCAGTTATGTTCAGTCGAATTGTCAACAAACTAAAAATTGGAAATATTACATGTCAGTGTTGAGCAATAATAAATAAAACGTTTCATTCGTAAACCGAATTAAATAGCCTCGTCCTTCAGGTGGATGGCAAACCAGTGGAATCACAAACAGAAAACAACTCACGGAACGAATCATTTAGATATGCATTTGAATCAAATTGTAAATGGACAGAGTTGCAACAGTATTGTACTACCAGTCCTGTTATTTGTTTTGTTACCAGAAACTTATTGCCATTATTTCAAAGAGAATATCCAGGTTAATGAATGTTCAGATTGTAATATATGCATTTATTCCACTGCATCTAGTTTATTTTTACTTACGTTCCGTTTGAGTCACCGAATAGGGACGCTGTTTACTGGAACATGGTAGTTTTCCTCTGTAAATATAAATCACAATGGTATAAAAAAAAGTACAAAATGTGAAAATTGAAATATGAAGAGATCAACATCTAGTTCATAAACAATCCAACAGTGTAGAATCACCCACCCTGTTTTTCTTTAGAACAATTGATCTGATTTAAATTGTTCATGTGCTTTATACACTTACTTTTTATATAAGACAATGACAACACCAATCAGAATCAGACCAGCCACTGTACCCAAAATACCTGCCACAATTGGTATCGTTCTATCTTTATCTGAAATATATAAAACAATTTTCTAATTCAGATGATTTTCTTGTTCACCTTGTAAGATTACAGATAGACGAAGTCCAGGAGGAATAAAGCCATATCTGTCCAGTCTCAATACCTTTTGTTGTATATAACATTTCTTGGTCGCATAAAGTGGGAACTGAACTGCAATAAGCAATGGCAGCGCCAATGCACCCCAAGAAAAGTAGTTTATAGCCTATCCCCACTTCATTTCTAAGAGATTTCAAAATCCCGTTTCCCGTTTTTGCATAAAATGTGTTAGAATGCGCTGAATAAAATGGTCCCATTTCATTAAGTCGATCTTCCCCCTGTTTGCACCACCAGTTCCAGGTGGATAACGCCACCAGTGATTGGAAGTTTGGGCGACCATTAGTCTCCCAGAATCGTTTTCAACTTCTGCTATAAACCGTTAGCATGCTGGACAATCTCTTAAACCATTGAATTTAGTCTAACTGACATGAGCTTGCCGGCGGTCATGAAGTTTGCGGCGGCTTTGGTGAATTTTGAATTGCCAGTGAAGTAAATTCTAGAAATAAAGCTCCATTTCTAAAACCAAACTAAATTTTTTATTTCACTCTTATTTTACATAGTGAAAGGATGGCCCGTGGCCCACCTGGAATATTTTGTGGACCCTGCTCGCTCCCCTCACCTGATGTTTCCTATAAACGCAACTGTGTCTATGTGCAGTTTTCCTTGGCTCATGTCCGCTGAACAGTCTGTCAATAAAGACCACGTCAAGATGCTGTATGATCACACTTACCTTGCGTTCTATACCAACCCGAACCTCCTAGATATGTATATGAACACCCAACACTGGTACACGAAAACGCAATCGCTCTAGAAATAGAAAATACGAGGCTTTTGAGAAAGGACAGTTACATGAAATCTTCATACATTTTCTGATGAGGTCAGCTCATAAAGGAGTTATAAATACGTCTTATATTTCTGAATAATACATTTTAAAAGCATTTTCAGTATAATTACATATATAGCATCTATTGAACTCTAATTATCCTTTTAGCCGATCACTTTTTCGGTATCCGCTCCCCTGTGAACTGAAATGATCGGCCTTAAAAGCAAATTTAGGATGCCCTGTTCGTCCCGCCGTCATGATCCATTGCTCTGGATTCAATCGATTGAAAAAACACTTCTTGGTGAAATTGGAGTATAAGGTAGGCAAACTATCCAATCTCTCAGCATCCTTGCTTAAAGGTATACTACCGCTTAGGTGGACCAAAAAATAAATTTTTAAACTTTGTCAAGATGAGTCTTTCTTCATCAGTGGACTAACCTGGTGACATAAATATACAACAAAATCCCCCTATAATCCAATAAATGCAATAAATGTTTCAATAAAATTAGTCAAGTCCAACTGATGAATATATACACTTGTTCACCAAATTTGAGACCTTAAATTTTATGTCCATTCTAAGTGGGAGTATCCCATTAATTGACGCCTTGTAAGCGAACACCACTTTGCACGAGTATTGTGTACCAATAACAATAAGTGACCGATATTAAGTAAGCTCTACAAATATCTGCAGTCTGATTAACATTACATTAAACTTTCGTTCCGTTTTTATTAGCTTTTATATTTAATGTAGCCACTTCAGTTAGGGTCTAACGATTGTCCTCTTGAACGAGATATTTTTGGGTGGGCTGTCGTTAGACCCTATCTGAAGTGGCTATATTAAGAACAAAAGCTAGTAAAAAAGTAAAGTAAAGAAAGTTTAATTGTAAGTAGGCTGAAATATCTGAATAATATATAATAAACGATTGCATATCAGCAGGTGTAACTCTGTACTTACTGGTATGCTGTACCTGGTTCTAAAGGTCCATTACAAATTTCCTCAGTCGGTTTTTCATCACAACCATCCTCATTGCCCGCCGTAAAGGTGGAAAATTCTGAAAAAATATAAAAACATTTGTCACTTGTAGTGTTCGTTTTCATATAAAATCATAATCAGAAAAGGTTTACAGAAAGAATATAAAATATATTTAATATCATTGATGCAGTTAACTTAATTGATTCATTTGAAAGTATAAAGATAAAATGAACTTAGAACGATGTCGACTTAAACAAATGATTTTAGGTCGTAACTTCCGTATCCCAATATCTCATCAAGATTACTAGATCTCCTTCAAATTTATAAAAATTGTGATTCTAGTGCCCTCAGGTTTGGAAGCATTTCAGATATCCAATCACATTTAATTCTATTCATTTTTTAAATTAGTGGTACGTTTGAATTCGTTGGGGTTTAATCCAACAATAAGGTCAAATAAAAGGCTAACCAATGTCGACGTACTTCAGTTACCTTAGAAATCATTCGAAAATTTTATTACTCGTTGAATCATTTACACGTTTTGGAACGTTGTTGACTTACCCGAATCATTAGAGAGTTTTATCCAATCTCCCTTTGTTACTAAAAATGGCGAATTAAAATCAGCTTCTTTTGCTTGTTTCCACGTGATAAACTTTCGTATTACCTGTTCGTCAATTGTTTCTAAAAATTGAGGAAATAGTTCATGTTCAAATTGCATTTCGTAAAGCGCAACAATTCATAACCAAGAATAACTTGAAAGGATTGCAGGGTATGTTTTCCCGACCCGTCTAACATTGTCTTTTATTATTGTCTCTCTTCACTCAGCAGCAAATGTCATGACCTTACAAAAAGGTTCCCCTTAACCACTTGGAGTTATCAATATACATTACAATCCAGTTATTCATACAACCAGTATGGCCTAACACTTAGTTTTAGTGGAATTGCAGAAACCACAGACGTCTGATTTAAAATTGGTATGGTGCAATTTGATACCATCAGTTTCCCCGATAAAACCTTTTCAAAAATCCCTTTAAGAACTCCACAATCTAATATTAGTCATTTCGCTCCCTAAGCCAACTTGTTAAATACGACAAATTGACTTAATAAGATCTAAAAATTAACAAGCTTGCCAATTTTAACTACAGTTGTTGATGTTAAAAGGGTTAACATCTCATACTTTTAAGAACATAAAGCATGTAAAGCGAGATGATAAATTTGAAGACAGTTATAATACCTAGTCTTCTATCGTTACAGTGTTTAAAATGACATATTATTAAAGCTGAATATGTAATGGCTCCATTGGATTCGTCTAATAGACATTTTGAACAATACTGGAAGGTGACAGTAGTTTCTGTAGTAGATACTGGGTCATATTTAAGAATAGCCTCATGTAATGGTGATAAATATGGAGCTGAAATTACAATGAATGTTACATTAGCATTATCTATTACATGTCAACATGCAAGCCCAGTTCAAAATAATGGCGAATGTCTCTGAAAAGTTAAGGCAGTTAACAATGACCGATTCATGTGAAAGTTTGAGGCTCAATTTACTTATCTGAATTATTGAAAAAGATCATAAATCAAGGTTTTGTTGGTTGTGTTCATCGTGTCTAAACCACACCCCGATTCGTCATGACCTATGTTACGTTTTACAGAATTAGATTCTAATATTTCAGCTGTGGCGGCGAGAGGAAGCGAAATAGCTGAGATTGCCCGAATTTCACACACCTAAGTTATGAGATTTTGGCGGCTGCCCCCTCTCCGCCACTGTATTTCAGCAATATTAAGCCGATGGCTATCACGTTGTAAAACGAATGTTAAACAAGACTGAATTGAAAATGCGAAATTAACTTCTACTTACTAGCTTCTTCTGCAGTATATTCTTCAACAAATTTTTTACCAAGATAATCTTCATTGTTTGCTCGCTGATTGAAACGAAAAATATTTGATAATAACATAATAATAATATAATAACATAATAAAGTATGTTGCAAACATAACGTAATACGACATAATATGAGTTAAGTAAAGGAACACAATATTATGGTTGAAGATAGGACAAAAGTGAAATGACAAAAGAGTGGTTTCATCACTGCCTTTTGGGTTTTCTCATTAGCATTTTGTATTTTGGCATAATAATTTATAAGTGAAAATAACACAAAACTATTGTCTTTTGAGAAATGATGTTTTTTTAAAGTATCAGCAACGTATACAAAATGGAAAAGACTGGTCATCTTGGCCGAAACGATTTTAGCGCTAGGATGTCTGCTCCACCCTAGGCCTGTACATTTGGGAGAATCAAACCCTCCCTTCCCCGAAATCTAACTTCTAACACTGTTTCTGGGATATCCTAGCGCTAAGATCATTGTTTTAGAATACGCGTCCTGATCACTTGATGGAAATAAGCCCTTAAAACAGGCCCGTAGCAACAGGGGGAAATGACCCCCGAAAAAATGGATTGCCCTCCCGATAAAATTCTGACAACCGACCAATTCCATTACTGCAACTAAACACTATACACCATTGGCCCTCCGGATATATTACTTGCCCCTCCGAACAATAAGTCGCCTGCTTATCGTATTATATGACCTTTCAAAAACGCCAAAATCTGCTATTAGCAGGGAAATCGAACAAGATCTATGTAAATAAACATCAGAGAGTATTACTGGTGAGAAACTATAAATGTATCTTGGACAGTGAACATTATCATTGTGTAAAAAATAATATAAACATAATATACTTACTATGGTAAATGTATAAACACTCCCTGGTTTAATTTCAATTCTTTTTTCATACTTGCAATAATAATCTTTATTGATATTTTCATCTTTAGGAATTGTATAAAAAGTAGTGTCTTCAGATCCCTAGTATAAAAGAAAATATAAAACATTTTTATGTTCCCTTCTCTTTTTTTGTATTAAAATTCATCGATTATTGACTTTGAAAATTCTCAATTAGTACAGAGAACATGAATGAGTTACATAAAGAGTCAGATCGGGGGCTAGCTTATTGGTCCATTTCGTAATAGATAACTAAACATGGCATTACTGAGAACAATTCACAGGCGTTCTTAAACTCTTGATGGTACAAAATACAGGCAGTTTTGAGGTTATTCAATCAATCAGGTTTAAAAAGATAACCACCTGTCATGTTAGTATCATTATGTTCCTTTACAATTTCTAAATTTATATTGGTAAAGAACTTCAAAATGAAATCTTTCTTTGGAATGAATGCGTTATAGACTATAAGAAACTCTTAATATGTAGCTTTTAAACCACAAAAACATAAAGAATTGGAACTTCAACTTACATTCAATTTTATTTCTACAGTGTAGTTTGTTATAATACCATTGCGCTCCTTCTCATTAAGACATCTCCATCGAACTTTAGCATCGGAACGATTAAATCCCACAATTAAAACACGAAATGAATGAACTGTACCTGCCGCTAAAATAAACCCACACATACACGATTACAGGTAAATAACAACAATGACCAAAAGTAATAGACACACCTTTAACTGTGCAGAATTTTGGATTTGAAGGTTCAACCGCCAATTTTTTTGAATCTATTCAAGAAGGGTGGGGGAATTTATTTTGTAAATAAAGGGCTTAAATCCTCTATTTTTTGCACTTTGAAAGTAAATAGTTTGAAATTGTGGGGCCTTTGAGGGTCATCACTGACTGTGAATTACTATCGACAATTAGTCTGAATGAAAAGTTGTGAATCAATGAAAAGACAAATTGTAACTTACGAGCTGTGGGTGTCATGATTTGCTTTGAGTATGAATTATTCGAGCTTTCATCATTTAGTAGAAATACCCTTACAGCAGCTCTGTAGGTCCAGTAACCAACAATACGATTACTGTGGATATACTTGGTAGTGTTGTAAGCTGTAAAAAAACGAACAGTTGAAAAAAGGCCATTCTCTCATGCAAGATTAAAATTCATCGGAAAATTGTGCAAAACTCAAACATCTGAAATTTTGACCATAAAAATTCACACAAGGATTTCGTTCACACGTCAAATTTGACATATTTTGGCAAGGACAAATAACCCAATAACTATTCCTCGGACATTCGTGAAAAAAAAATCAAACTCGTTCAAGATCTCACAAAAAAAATAATCAAATGAATAAAAATCTAGTCTCTAATGCGTCCACAAGCACATGTGACGGACAGAGGATAGGGGTGCGACGACAATATTCGTCCGTATTCTAGCAAAGAAGACAACATCAGCTTCGTGGTTATGTTCTAAAACTCGTAATTGATATATGTGGAGATTCAAATAAGGAAGAAAAAGGGTCAATATAAACTATTTTAATACAAATTTTAAAAAAGTGAATTTGTGGCGCATTGAATGAATATGGGGGAAATCAATCTAACTGCTAATATTGCTTTGCAGGGAAAAAATGCCATCACCAGAAATACTAAACAAATACACAGCGGACAATTTCATTTCATTTTTAAAAAGATAAATGTAGCATCAACCGCTTTCTCTTCAAAGCCATAATTCAGAAATCGACCATAATCATAGACCCGGCCATTATACATATGCATACCACGTTTAATTAAAATCGGATCAAAACTGTTCGTCCCATCGCGTTCACAATCCATTAAGGACAAAAGGGGGACACTACACCTCCGAATTATGAGCATATAAAACGTTTATCTACCGTTGTTGCTGATAGGTGCGGTATACAATATGTTATCTGCTACTTCACTGTCTCGCCTTTCTTTTTCAAAAATGTATATAAAATACACCATAGGACCAGGGTATTCTGCTGGTTTTGTCCATGTAACAGTTAAATTAGTGGCTGTTTGGTCCACTATTTCAACTTTAGATGGTGGAACAGGATCTAGGAAAATAGAAACCAATCAATCATCAGTTCTGAGTCTTTCATTTACCAACCAGTTGTTTGTTTCAATTTTTTCCCCTTTAATATGTTTGGATATACATGTCTTTCAATATATAATATATATAATGCAGTCTAAGACCATGCTCCACCACTTTCGTGGGTTGGTTTGCGTCTTCATTTACGTCTTGAATATAACGAGTCTCCATAAGGTCTTTCAAACGCGGATAATTCTGGACACACATGATATTGAAGGCTCTAACTTCGACAGTGAGTTGTGAAAACTTTTACTGCTCCACTGACATAGGGCCCCATTTTTATACGCCCACGTGAAATGGGGGACGTATATTGTTTTCACGCATGTACGTTGCTCGTAAACACTCTATAAGGCACAATTCTTTACTGATTTTGACAAAACTTGGTATAATTGTTTGTTATTACCCAAGGATGATCCCTATTGAAAATCAGAAGAATTGAAATATTTAGTATGAGTTATTGCCCTTGTTCTTGAAAACGCGTTCAATTTGTAGCTTGTAAACACTCTAGAAGGCACAATTTTTTACAGATTTTGACGAAACTTGGTGTAAGTGTTTACTATCACCAAAGGATGAACCCTATTGAAATTCAGAAAAATCGAAAAATATTTAATATGAGTTTTTGACCTTGTTCTTGAAAACGCTTTCAATTTTTAGCACCAAAACACCAAAAGGCACGATTCTTGACGAATTTTGACAAAACTTCAACTCAAAAGGTTGAATATTTCATACTGGTGATTGTTACTGTACTGCCAAATATTTTCATTCAAAATCAAATCTTCCAGTGGCAAGCTATCTTCTTAAATTAGGACATAATATTGCCCTTGGTAGGGCCCCAGCATAAACTGAGAATAATTATTTTTGTGTGTGTTAACTTTCAAGATACATATTTTTGCTATTTGTTTTTAAATTTGTATTTTATTCTGGAGCCCTCTTAGGTATGGGAACCCGTGGTTCAACCACTCCTTATAGTAGTTGAGAAACTGTCTTTGTCATATCCAGTTACATATATAGGTAAATGTCTGTATGTTACAGTTGAGTAATAGTGTGTAAACCTATTTAACTTAGATTGTCTATTGTTCGACCAACCTAGTTGCTGTTTTAGATATTTATTTATTACCTTTATATGCAACACAATTTCCACCATCATCTTGATAATGAAGTTTCTTCTCACAAATACAGTAGTCATTCTTACACACGTATGGTGTTGATGGACTTCCACAAGCTGATGTATCATTTCCACTACAATTGTCACCAACTTTACCATCAACATAGAACTAGATGTAAAATATAGTGTTGTTTATAAAAATGTTAAACTTAATTACTTTTTATGATTTGCATTTTTAACTCGATCCAAAAAAAGCGAAAAAAATACTTCTAAGACAATTAAAAACCTGTAACTCTACTAACTCTAAAAAAGTGTCACAATTACTCAACTTTGTTGAAGAATAAGCTACGAAATGACTTCTTGAAGTTGCTTTTTCAAGATTCTGTTCAAGACTAAACAGATTTGTTAAGTTTCATTAGTAAATAATACCCTACGAGTCGTAATACCACGACTTTTCCCTAATCAGTTTCTTAATACTCACGGTCGGTTTATACAGGTCGATGTAAACTATACACGCAAGTAAAAGTACAAAATTCCCCAAATTCATAATAACATTTATCGAAACACATCAGAGTTCTTCTTCAACAAAATATTTAGGTGATGGTATATCGCAATATCCGGTAAAATTTTGTAAGGTTAGCTTACAATTACGCATATTACATATTTAATACTTAATGTAGGTCAAAGCGACGTGGCAGATAAATTCAGGACTTTACAATCCATTGTTGAATTTTTAACATTATGTGAAATTCATTCGAAGTTTATGAACGTACACTTTCTGATACGGAAGAAATTGTAAAAACATCGGTGATAATGAACCAATTCTATTGCTCTGAACATACCTAACGTACACTAGGTTTTCAATGTAGACTCTACCGACCTGTAAGTGTATCTACTTGGAAGAAACCGGTTTGTACGGCGGTCCGCTAGGGACATATATGTTTGAATTTCAAAATGGCAACTATCAAAAATCTATAAGTGTCAATATTTCTGGGTCTAAGTCAGCTATAAACCCGTTCTTGTATTTTTGGATGAAGGAAACTTCCAATGAGTGGTCACAACTGTCGCCTTATTGAATTTCAAGATGGCGGCAAAGTAAAGTATAGGTGATGAACCTAATATTTTGTTAGTCTTGACACCAAAGCCACACAGGAGAGCGATACCACAAATACATGTCTTTCAAGTCACTTTTACGTCAGGTGATGTTTTGGTGGGGATAGACAACAAAATGTCCTCAAAATGGGCAAAGAAAACTTCCACTACGTTGCAATGGAACGTTTGATCGACAGGTCAAAGCCGCTCGGTGCTGTCATCAAGCGGAGTAGATCGCAAATACTGTATCACAATTTAAGAACCTTTGACCCAGATCTGCACAAATAATGCTGCTAAGTAGCGCCAAATTATGCCTATCGCGAACTCAAGCCAGGGTTAATGCAGTTGTTGTTGGGCGCGCTGGTGCAATGACCAGAATGACAACGTCCACTGTAGTGTTAAGTATGTCTATATCCCAATTATCCCATCCGTTGCATATACCACCATTCGGATGCCAAGGTCGGAATGTTGTCTCGAAGATTTGAACTCCGCACTGAATAGACAAAACACATGTATCACTTGACGCCAAAACAAGAAAGACGTGTATTTAGGACACCCCTTTCAAGTGTGGCATTGTTGTACAGAAATATAAGGCTAAGCACCTAGATTTGAACGTCTTTAAATGGTAGCAGTTCTAGCTTTTTAACTTGAATCATAAGATTTTTTCCCCTGAATCTACAATTAGTCACCAAGACGGGATTTAAAGCAGATCGAGATCCAGAAATATTGACGCTGATAGATTTTTGATGGTCATTCTCAAATCAAACATGGCAGCAATTGTAGCTTCTTGAATCATTGTATTCTTTGATACCCAAAATTAGCCACCAAGGGTGGAGCAGACACTTTATTTAGAAATTAGGATTAAGAGTCTTGATATTGGGTTTTCTTCTGTTCTTATTCTGATCTGAAATTAGAACGGGACAACAAAGGGTGCTATGCCTACATTATGATGAATATTTAGTCCTATAGGTCTTGCTGTATTCAATGTCTCAATCCAATGGGCTTCCCTAGATTGACGGAATTTAGTAGTTTCATCTTCGGGCAAGTCAATTTCTATACGCTCAATTGGGATTAGGGTGAGATCGTCTATTGAATGGTCGTCGAGGTTGAAATGATTAGAAACAGACTTGTCTTTCTGTAATTTGATGTCCGACCTATGAGCATTAAAACGAGTTCGTAATTTATTCTTAGTTTCTCCTACATATTGTTTGGGGCATTTCTTGCATGAAATTAAATATATTACATTCGAATGTTCACATGTTAGATGTTCCTGGATCGGGTACCTTTTATTCGTAGAGTTGCTTACAAAATAATGAGTTTCTGATATAAAGGGACATGTTTTGCATCTACTGGCAAAACACGGAGCCCTTCTTAAACCTGGAGGTACTTCGGCATAAAGTCTGTTTTTAGCTGCTATCTGTGCTAAGGTGGAATTTTTTATGTTTCGTAAAAATCGTTTAGAGTACCCACGCTCTTTCAGTTTTGAGAAAACAATCGTACAGGCTTGGTTGAAATCAGAAGATCTTGTAAAAATTCGATGAAATTGTAAAACTTGTGACTTAATTATACCAGAAAAGGTATGTTTTGGGTGAAAGATTCACTTTCGATACAAGATTGTTTGATCCAAGAAATATATATTCTGTTTTATCATCGTTCAGTTTACGGAAAGTATTTTTCATTCTAAATCGGATATCTTCAATGCAACATTCAATCTCGGATTTACAACAATTAAAACTATAATTTACAGAGGGTTTAAAAGACATATCTGGGTATCATCTGCATGATGGAAGTCCATGCCTGTGAACCATCTTGCAGAGTGGAGTGGGCCCAATACGCATCCCTGCGGTACACCATACAGTAAACCTTTTTTGGCGGATGGTTTAACAACGACAACTTTGTGCACAACCATTAGTGTTGTTTGTGGTGTTGTAACGAATCCGAAGTCTTTCAATGGCTCTGGCACTACAGTTAAAAGCATTGGCAATTACTTGAGTACTTTATCCGGGAGGTAAGACGTGCCATAATCGCTGTCGTCACAAACTGAATTCTCTGTAGGTATCAGGTGGTTTTTATACAGAACCCTGGCACATGTTACATCTGCATTTCGATTCATGTGAATCACTTACAACTTTCTCCCACGGGCACCTCACAGAACGCAGCCGGTGGTCTTTTTAAAGTCTTGAAATTCGACGTTTCTTTATCTGTTCGGTGTATGTATTAAAATCCGAAAATATTCAAACCTCACTGCAGTGAATATAGAATGTATTACTAACGACGTTTAAAACCAACTCTTTTGTAGAAAGACTTAGTTAGATTTCAGATATATAGAACTTTAAATTGAGGCAAACTCTGTACCAGTACCTTTGACCATATTATCTTAAGTTGATACAAAATAATAATTTAATTTCTCCTTGAAAAAAATATATCAATACATATTACCTTTTATTCATAGATAGCTTGTCAGGCAAGGTAATATACGCCCACTGGCAGCTTTGATTTTGAATACAAATATTTAGCAGTACAGTAACAATTACCAATATGAAATATTCAACCTTCAGTCATACACTTCTTTTGAACTCTTTAGGGCGATAATGAATAATATTGAGTATGAGTTATTGCCCTTGCTCTTGAAAACGTGTTCAATTTTTAGCTCGTGAAAACTCTAGAAGGCAAATATTCAATCTTCCGTGCGGGACTGAATAATAAAAGCAAGTTTTGTCAAAATCCAGCAACAATCATGCCTTTTAGTGTTTAAGAGCTAAATTTGAAAGCGTTTTCAAGAACAAGGGCAGTAACTCATACTAAATACTTTTCAATTCTTCCGATTTTCAAAAGGGTTCATCCTTGGGTGATTACGAACATTCACACCAAGTTTCATCAAAATCCGCCAAGAATTGTGCCTTCTAGGGTGATTACGAGCTAAAAATTGAACTCATTTTCAAAAGCAAGGGCAATAATTCATACTAAATATTTTTCTGATTTTCAATAGGGTTCATCCTTGGGTGATAACAAACACTCATGCCAAGTTTCGTCAAAATCGACCAAGAATGGTCCCTTCTAGATCGTTTACGAGCTAAAAATTGAACGCGTTTTCAAGAACAAGGGCAACAACTCATACTAAATATTTGTCGATTCTTCTGATTTTCAATAGGGTTCATCCTTGGGTGATTACGAACATTCACACCAAGTTTCATCAAAATCCGCCAAGAATTGTGCCTTCTAGGGGGATTACGAGCTAAAAATTTAACTCATTTTCAAAAGCAAGGGCAATAATTCATATTAAATATTTTTCGATTTTTCTGATTTTCAATAGGGTTCATCCTTGGGTGATAACAAACACTCATGCCAAGTTTCGTCAAAATCCACCAAGATTTGTACCTTCTAGATCGTTTACGTGCTAAAAATTGAACGCGTTTTGAAGAACAAGGGCAACAACTTATACTAAATATTTTTCGATTCTTCTGATTTTCAATAGGGTTCATCCTTAGGTGATTACAAACACTCATGCCAAGTTTCGTTTAAATCCATCAAAAATTGTCCCTTCTAGAGTGTTTAAGAGCTAAAAATTGAATGCGTTTTCAAGAACAAGGGTAATAACTCATGGGGATCCTCAGAGTCGA